AGTCCCTTTAAAAACATAAAATGTATTTTTACTTTGTGTTTTTTTTGTTTGTTTTTACTTAATCTTTTCAATTATTTTTCTCGTAGCTCTTCCCTCCATTTGCAAAGTCATTGCAATGAAATGTATTATTTTAAAATAAATTAAAAATTATTAATTGCCTTTTAAAAAAACATTGATATTATTTAAAATTATTTTTATCAGAATAATGTGAATTTGTTAATTTTAAAGCATCAACTTATTTTTGCATTTATAAAATACTGTCATGAAGAACTATTAAGATAAAAACTTTAACAAAAAAAAATTTTAAGTGTTCAGAAAAAATAGTTGATCGTCATTTCTCGTGTTGGCTGTATGAATTGAACACTGGCCTTGGATTTCTTATTTTCCACACTGTATATATATACACTGTGACATAACACTAAAATAACCTGTTTCTCGGGGTGTTATCTAATATCTTTTACATTTTACATTGCAAAATTGAGAAAAAAAAAAAAAAAAAGGTTTACAAACATTGTTTAGTTTTAAGTTAAAAAATAGTTTTATATTAAACAGACCGGAGCACATCAATAAATCATTTGTAACCAAACTTCTTAATTTTCATTTTAATTTTTTTAATTTTTAAAATTGAAGTATAGTATATAGTTTGTATTATGTTTTTATTTATATTAAATTACATTTGTTAATTTTTAATTAGAAATCAAATTAGCACATTCAAAAAACAAATTACCTAAAGAAATCCCTAACCTCCATCAATGGAAATTTTTCACAAACTGATTTTGAGAATAGGCTCCTTTTTAATCAATTTTACTTGCCATAAAAATTCATTGACATTTGTTACTCTGTTAAATGCGATTTGCTTAAACAAACTTTTTTCCTCTAGGGATTTATAATGAAAAAATTAAAAACCTTCATCAAGCTGCTGGACAATATGTTTAAACTTTGTTACTAACCCAGTTGTACATTTTTTCTGTTTTGTGTTTTGAATCTTAATTCTTTTGTTAGCATTTTTGTTTTACTTAGTTTATTGACAATATTTATACAATTTAAAGCTGTTGTATATTTCTACTATCATTAATGTTTCTCTAACTAAAAGTTTAACACTAACTTTTTTACCAACGGTAGCAACTAAATACTATGGATTCATAAACAGAAACATTATAACTAGTATTTTCATTTCATGTCACAATTCTTGTGCAAGAATTAAAAACAGCTTAAGGATAGTTTAGATTTTTAGTGTTGTATTTAAAATATAATAAAAAACATGGTATGTTATTAGCTTCATTAGCTTTTTCAACACACTTTTAAGTAGATACGCACTTTTCTGTTTATAAACGCACTTTTTTCCTGTTTTCTTCATGAAAACAGGTCTGTTTAAATAAACTCATTGTATCTAGAAAAATATACAATTTTAAGAACACAGAGAAAACAAACCTTATATTTAACGTAATATGCATAAAACTACATACTGTGTAATAATGCTTTACAAACACTATTATGATATATAGGTTCTTAATTAAACTACAAAACATGCATAATTAAATATTTTGATTACAAATGTATCAACAATGAGCCATGGTTTATAGTACAAAACTATTGTTTAGTATAAAACTATACAATATTTGTATACCTTTTTTTTTGCTCAGTTATGCAATCTAAATGTATTTAAGGCAGTAGTGGTAGAGTGCTCACTTCATAAGAGAGAGGTCCGAGTTTGATCATCACTATGTCCCATGGTAATACCATGCCCAACTTGTTTTTTAGTGTAGCAGCCTTGTTTGTCAAAGTTTGTGCTTTGAAGTTATAGAGTTGAGAGAGGGTTAATAAAACATAACCAAGGCCGGGTTTGTGACCGGGGTTGAACAAACATTTATATCTCTTAAAGTTTATTTTTTTTATTCAAAATTCATGTTATATTTGCATATATATATGCATATATATTGCAATATATATTATAATGATCAACATGATCATTATAATCATCATTATTATCATCATCATCAGGGTTTAGCTTTCCTCTTCTATGCTGTTTCTCTACTGTAAACAATCTAGAGCATTTTTTTTTCTTAACTAAAGCTCATTCATACAATATGTATGAATGAGCAATACTCTCTTTAAGTTTTCATACTTCTACCAATATCATTTTCTACTGAAGCTGCTATCTCTCTACATGCTGATACCTAAATCACTTTTATCTTTTCTAATAAATGTTGTTCGATACAATGTTTTTTTAAATCTGTCTAAGATTATGCCATCTTTTTTTGTCTAGCTAGAGTCACACCACACATCCATCTGATCATCTTCTATTTTGACAAACACTAATCCATATAAATACTAAAGTCTATATAACAAAAAAAGAATATTGTATGCCAGCATCTAAATAAATAGCAAACATATATGTTTATATCCATAATATGTATGCATAAAGTGCATACATATTATGGATATTATATATTAAATCTTAGAACCTTTTATTACTTCTGGAACAAAAGTTTGGAAACTTTTACTACTTTTTAATTCAAAATTACTTGACTTCAATTTTAAGTCAAGCCTTATTTTACTCCAAATTTTTTCACCATCTTGAGCAGATTCTTAATTAAACATTATTTTCATCTTTTTTACAAGAACACCTCTCTTAAGAACAAATGCTCTTTTATTATTTCAAGAAGCCAATGTAAAAAGTCCTGTCTGATGTTAAGCTCTGTTACTGTAAGTTTAGTTGCATTTATTTACTAAATCTTATCTCAGATATTAGGTTCTAGAGACTTTTGGTTAGTCTTCAACAGTGTCATTAACTAAAGTAAGTCTTCAACAGTGTCATTAACTAAAGTAAGTCTAACATTTAATCTCAAATTCATGGGTCTGATCATTTCACTTCTCCCCAGAATAAAGCAGAGTTATTTGCAAAAAATCTTACTCTAATTTGACTCTTGAATATAATGGCCATACTCTTCCTGACAGTTAAACAAATTAACCCATTGTTAAATATGGAAATCACTCTGGCTTTCAGTGCTAAAGTTTATTCTCAATTAAACACTTCTACATTTTGTGCTCCAGAATAGATTTCCATCATAGCCTTAAAAAAGTGTTCTCCAGAACTCTCTTCAATTTTAGCTAAACTTTTAAAAAGTGCTAAAAAAGTAGTTCCAATTTTTCAAAACTCTAGAAAACACTTTGACCTCTCCAACTAACCTATGTCTTCACTCTATTATCCTATCTACAATAACAATCTTCATGAAATCTGAAATGACTCTATTTGCTGACGACTCAACTTTATACTTTTGTCTTAACAACAAAAAATCTATACTTTTTAATTGCTTAGAAAAAGCAGCTGATTTTAAATCTGATCTCTCTTCTGTAAAAGCCTAACCTTCTGTAACAACCTCAGGCTTGCAGTGGCTTCTGGGTTTAAAATCCACAATTTTTGTTAGGCAACTAAACTCATTTATTTACTACAAAAAACTATTGCAATATTGTTGGCATTTCTATATTGACGAATAACAACCCTATTACTCTCAGACAAAGTCTAATAGCACATTGTAAATGTAATTAGATCTGCTTTATCTGCCAAGCTTAAGCCACTTTCCTATTGTTGTAAGGTTGCATTCTTTTCTTTTTTCTACAAATACAATCATGGTCAATGCTCAAACAAGCTATCTCTATAACGATAAACCAAAACTCTTTCTATTATAGCTTTTTATTCAACAAGTTGCATTTATTTACTATGTCTGTCCCTTCATGCTATAAAAACTTTTATTAATCCAGCTTTTTTCCTTGAACATAAAAAAAAAGCTTATAACTCTTACTTTTTTATGTTTTCCTTTTTTATACAATTACAACTTTTTAAGTCTTCAGTTATACGTTTCCTAGTATTTTAACTTAATCTCTATTTTAAAGAAACTTATACCTTAATAGTGGTTGCTTGCAATCTTGTTGGAAGTAAATTAGAGTTTAAAAATATATAAATGTATGCCAGTATTTAATAAATAATAAATGTAAGCATAAAATTATAATATATAAAATTTTATAATTTTTTTTCTAGTCCCGGTTATCAACCCCTGCTAAATCCTATAAATTTGCCAGGGCCGAGTATGCAAAAATTCTCAATTTTAGCTGGGGCCGGGGGCCCGGTCACTTACTACTATAGTGGCTTTCTTAAGCTTGGGGAAGTGAATTAATATTAAAAAAATTTTTATCAGATTAATACAGATATTTTTGTTTGTTATTATCTTTTTGTTTTAATTTTATTAAATAAAACATTATTTATTAATTAAAAACTTAAAAGTTTAAAAATGATAGCATAAACAGGTCAAAACAGGAGCCTACACTGCACCCTTCGGACTGTCTTTGAAACAATTCTGAGGAGGACATCCAATTATTCTTTGTTTATCCTGACAAAATGAACAAAATTTGTTTGCAATTTCTGGGAGATCTAGTAAATGATCAGGGAGGGGCACCTTTTTTAAACACTACAAATTCTCAACTCACATTTCCATTAGAAAAAAGTTGGTTGAAAATTTTTTTTTGCTGAGCCTAAGACTTTTAAAACCAAAAAGAAGGATTTTTTTGTGAGTTCTAAATATGTTACTTTTGTCATGAAAATACTAAGCCTTAATAGTCTTCCACAAAAAAATATGTGAACATTGCTATATGTCAGCTCATAAAATTAAAATACATAAGTTTTGACTGTTTTTTTGCAACTAAAACCTAAAAACACCCAAAAACTTTCTTATATAGATAATTTTATGGTTTTTAAATTGATCAGTCAATAATTTGCCATTTATTACTCTATTACTTATTTTTCTATCCATTTGCGCACAAAATGAAATTTGAAATATTGCAAGTTAAAATTTGACAAATTTTTTGTTATTTCAAACTTATTTCTTTAGTTAAGCATTACAAATAGTTTTATTGATTAAAAAAAATAAAGTAAAATATAAGTATAAAGGTGTATGTATGTTTTTATGGGTGTGTATGTTTTATTGTATATTTATAAAATATACCTTCATTTCCTGTTCTTGAATTAAATTTGATATTTCAACTGAAGGTATCTAAGAGAAGAAAAAAAATGTAAAGTAATAGTTCTGTATTATTTACTTAGATTTTGTTGTAATCAACAAAAAATTTATATAACCTATTAAAAAAATACCTTGCAAGCTAGAATAGAGAGTATTGCAACAGCCATACGTGTTATGTGCCGATCTTCAGCCTCTTGAAACAATACCATGCACTTCATAGATAAACGACACATTGTGACATGATCAAACTTCTATTTAAAACATGATATATAACTATTTATATCTCTAATATGATTCTGTATAATAGCAAATTTAACAAATTCAATTAATGATTTATTTATAAAAAAAAAATTTATAAAATATATTTTTTTAGAACAAAATAGTGCTTATACAATGGTGTTTATTGTGTTAAACATAACATTTATGGTGTTAATGTTGTTAAACATAACATTTATGTTGTTAATGGCGTTAAACATAACATTATGATGTTAATGGTATTAAACTTATGCTTCTATGGTTTTAAACATATCATGGACTTATTTAAAATGTTGTATGTGTTGACATAAAAGAATGATTATTAGCTGATGTTAAAGATCTTTGAATAACTAATGAACTTAAAATACTATTCTTTAGTTTTGTAATTAGACCACCCAATGAAACCTATGAACTAGGAACTATAGCCTGAAAATGTGTTTGTCATTTTTTTTATATTTTGAAGTACTTAAATTTTACAAAGTAAATTACATTCAAACTATTTGTTATCAAAAAAGTGACAAAATCTATTTGAATAGATTTTAGACTTCATGTGATTTATAAGTTTTTCAAACTTATACATATAAAAAAAATCAAATTAAAAAATTATTATAAAAAAAAAATTGATCTTTTTTTTGAAAGATATTGGCTTACATAAATATTGTGTTTATCAATAAAATATGTAAATTATATTGATAATTGCATTCATCTAATTGTGGCTTATTTAATTTTATATCTTTTTGAAACTTTTTAAAATCTGTCAGTGTTGCTGTCGGAAAAAAAGTTAGATTTAGTACCTGGTTGTAAGTTTTCAGAATGTAGAAAATTATTAAAACTTTGCGTAATTATAAAAATTATGATTAAAAAAAGAATTATTTCAAATTTATGTTTTATCAGTTATGATTTTGTATTTCAAAAGAAAACTTAAATTCAAACACCAATGTTTGTATCAATGACTTGGTTGTTCATCTCTAAAACTAATTCCACATATACGCAGAGTTTTAGAAAATAAAAGAAACAATAGAGAAATAGAAAAAATAATTAAACAAGTAAAACACATAAAAAATTCAAAATGCAAAATAAAAAATGAAAAAAGTACAATGACTTCAAGAAAAAAGGATTTTTCTTTAAATAATAAAAAAATTTATTCTTAAAAAAATAAAAACTAAAAAAAAAAAAAAAAAAAACAGCATAAAATGTTTAACTTTTTAAATAAGTTGAGTAAAAGCGAGTCAAATAAATTAGTAAAGAGTTTTTAATTCATTTTTTTTTAAGGGAAAAAGATTTTTAACTCTTTTTTTTTAAATTGTCAAGAATTTTGAGGTGCATTTAAATACATTAAAAAAAAAAAATATTTCATTCTACTCTCACATTTGGGGAGAATGAAATATGCAAATTAATAGGTAATTAAAAAATACTTAATTAAAAAATGCAATTAATGAGATCCAATAATAATAATTAAAAAAACAACCAAGTAATGAAGAAAATGTTTTTCTTTATGTGATAATGTTGAGTCTTTAAGAGGTTCTGGAGGTTGAGTTGAGCTGCACTTTTTGGTGCAATTAAACTCAGTGCCTTTTATATATCACTTTGAAATGCATGTTTGACAATGCCAAACCTTGCATTTTGAACTTTTGCACTGATACCATTCACTAGTTTGACTTGCATAAGCTTTGCTAAAAACATGACAACATTTTTTACACTTTTTGTTGTTGTGGGTATTAAGGTGCTCCCAGAAGTCCTTACAGTCTTATCACGGAGCACAGCATAAGATCATTTAACAAGAAAGTCCACGTCTCCACATCTCCACGTCTTTTTTGTGTCAGCTGCAAAGCTGTGGCAAGTGATTGGGCTAATTGAAATTGTTTTTCAACATCTTTTTAAATTTTTTTTGAATAGCTGGAGTTATATTGAAAGTTGGAAAAACTTAAAAATAAAAAGTTAATGTTTGATTACAATTTGAAGAGTATAAAACTTCAGAAAATATAATTGATTAAAAGCAGTTAAAATAAAATATAGCCAGTATATATGCCAGCAAATTTTATTTCCAAGAGTTTTAAGCCCATTTTAAAAAAAAAAACAAAATAATAAATTACGTGACCAAAAATTTGACCATTTATAGAAAAAAATCTTGTATTAAAACTTTATATCATATTATTCGGAAAAAGATTCTCCACAAGACGATAAAAAAAACATTTGCAAAATGTTCAATGAATAAGTAGAAGCAAAACAATAAACATTGTCATAATTTTTTTATCTGCTTTTGCTATATTTTATTTTTTTTATCTACCTGCTTTTGCTATATTTTATTTTCTGACGTTTGATTTTCTTGAGTATTGTAATCAAACTAACTTTTTTTTTTAATGTTTTTGTTGCATTTTTTTTTTATATTTTCACTGTCTTTTGGTTGTTGCTGTTTTTCCATTGTTCTTATTGTTGCTGCTGGCATTTTTTGTTGTTGTTAATGTTGCATTTATATTTTTTGTTGTTGTTGATGTTGTATTTATATTTTTTGTCAGTTTAATTACTTAACTTTGCCTTTAAATATACTTGTTTGAATAGTCTTTTTTTTTCCTCTCAAAATATTGTTTTCATTTTACTAATAAACTTTAGGACTTATACACCTATATATTGATTTTATATTTGTAATTAAATAATTATTTATTGCTTTGTAAAATGAAAATTTTGAATTTCTTAAATTATATCTAAACTGATATTAAAATCTTTCACAAAATGATCACGTCTAATTGATTAAATACTTAAAGTAAGTTAAATAATTTATTATTACTACTATAATTAATTCCTAATGAGTAATAAGTTACAGCATTACAGAATCAGGGAATCAGTGACCTGGGTAATATTACATTAGATTATTATCATTATCATTATTATATTCATTAGCTTGATATTATCCTTTAATATAGTCTCTTAACTAGTGATAACGTCTCAATAAAAATACTCACCTTGGGCAGATATTAATTGAATCAGGCTACTGTCTTATAGAAGGCCACCTAGGCAAAGACTGAAGGAGTAAACTGATTCTATCTATTGATCAGCTTCACATGCCTTCTTCATCTATTAGGCTGGCATAGATGTATTTATAATACATTGTTTCCAGTTTAGGATGCTGAATCTTCTTGACTCAATGCATGGGTTTTGTTTTTATGACAAGGCAATTCATTCTTTTATCTCCTAATGAGAGTACAGCTCTAAAACTCAGTTTTATGGTTCTGAGGTCAGTTTTATGAGTTCCCAGGTATCCGGAGCTTTGTGGTAGCTCTCAGAGAGACTGATTCCATTAACAGCTGTAAAATATAAGAGTGCTAACAGTGCATGTTTTGCATGGATGGTGTCCCTGTTCTTCCTATTGATGTGAAATGTTGAGGCCAAATTTGGAGCCCTTTGTTACGGTTTAGGGTTTAAAACACAAAAAACCATTGTCTAACTACCATCCCAAAGTCTTCTTCCTATCATAAGTAAAGTTTTTGATTCTTTAAGTTAAAGGCTTTAACACCTGCAGAGTCACTGACACCAAGTCATTCAGTGTGATGAGCATTGAAGTCACCAACAACAACAATATTGACTGAAAGATAAAGAGAAATGGCTCGATCAATATGATCAGAAATAAAATCAAAAAAAGTGCAGTTTTGAGATGAAGAACAAAGAGAAAAGTGATAGAATGAAGTGGTGCCTTACAAAAGCACATAAAAAAAAAAGTCTATGAATTCAAACCTAGTTTTCCAAAAAATGGGTGAATTCTTACAAATGTAAATGCTTAGGCTAAGCATGTGACCATTGGAGTCTTTACAAATTAAAGGAAAATAACCATCAACACTAAGATCACAAGATGAAATAGCTGAACTCAAATTAGTCTCACAAAGAGCAAGTAGGTCTGGTAAAATTTGCAAGAGATAAGACTCAACAGAAGAAAAATTACTTCAAAAACCACCAATATTAGTGAATGATAGAATTATTGAACTTGGTGGTGACGATGGCTTTTTGTGTTTTATCTTCTTCATTTCCTTCTTTTGTGTTCTTCATCATTTCCTGTAATTTTAAGGGTTCCTATACTTTTTTTAACTTACATTAACAAACTCCCAGAAATTCTCATATATAAGGTGGTTTGCATTGTGCCCTGATGATACTACCATTTATTCTTGTCTTAATAAAAAGCCATCTCTCTCTAATTGCTTGGAGGGGACATTTAGAACTCTAACTTCAACTCAATTATTTCAATAATACTCAATTTTTTAGGTAATTGTTATCAAAAAAATCTAAATCTTCCTATATTTATGAACAGTAATGTACTTGATGAATCACCTACACGAGATTGCATCTCTTTATCGTGCTCTCCACTCCAGATTCTATTCTTGATCTTTATAAATCTCTAATTGGGAATACATTTTCCCTTTCTTTTTTAGAGAAAGTGCAAAAAACGCATTGTAAACATAGTTGGACCTGCTCTTGCAGCCAACCTTTAACTATTGTCACATTGTTGCAATTTTGCTTCCCTTTTTCTTTTCTATAAATACTATAATAGGTACTGCTCTAAAGAGCTAGCTTCTCTAGTGCCATCTACTAAAAAATCTGTACAGATTAGGAAGCACAAGAGAAATTCCAAAATCAACAAATGTAGAAATAACAACATCTCTAAAATCATTCAAATTAAATTGTTGATTCAAATTAAATTAAGTTGTAATAACTTAAATTTATATTAGATATTTTTTCTAATTTTAGATATATATTATCACAATTTTTTTTTTAATAAAAAAAAAGGTTTAATATATTGAATAGGTTGTATTTGATTTTGAAAAATTTTAACAACTCCTTACATATTTTCACAAAAAAAACTATTTTGTAATAAAAAACGAAAGATGGATTTTAATATTTAATTACTTTGATTTGTAATTTCTAATAAACTATTTAAACTTAAGTATTTAAATTAAATCGTTATTTAGAACAATAGGAGTAATGCTTTTTTTATAATACAGAAAAATTTATAACAAATAATTTCATAAATTTCTTGTGTTATATTCAATTAAAAGCTTGCCAATGGTAATTATTATAGCAATTATCACGATTTTGCAGTGGCTTGCTTAAAATTTATATTATTAATTTAAATATATGAAACAAAAAATAAAAAATAAAAACAAATAAAAATTCCTACAACAAAATGCAACATCTCATCTGTGCAGATGATCAAGAGACAATTTTTGACCATCTAAAACATTTACATATATACATATATAAAAGCATACTATTTAAATTATTTAAAGCAGATAATAAATTTAAATGTTAAAAAAGTAAAAACTTTTACTTGCATAGAATTAATGTATATTGACAAGATGGTAGAAGTTATTCTTGCAACATCACTAAAAATTTTAAAGCATACTACTTTGGTAAGAGATGTATGAGTCTACAAAATTCTCTCTGTTTGCATATAAATTGTAAAAAATTCTAACCTCAAGAGAACAAGATTTAATTTGTTAGTCTTTATGTCAGCATTATTTTTGTTTAGATGAAATACACATGCCCTTAATACAAATAATCATGATGATATATATCGCAACTTATTCTCATATTTACTAATATTTTATTAGGGGGGTCTAAAATTCTATATTTTTTGTTTAACCAATTGAGGAGCCCATCTACAAAACGCGACAAGTCACAAAAGTAAAAATTTTGAGTTAATCTCATTTCCAGATTCGATATACTGATATCTATCATCTATTTAAATATTAGATCAATTAAAAAAACTTTTGGTCCTAAAACGGACAAAGCAAATATCAATTTCTATTGATCCGTAACTAAGAGCAGTTTAGTTTTTGTTGTTTTCTCAAAATCATTTACTCAGACTTAACACGTTTTGCAAATGGGCTCCTCAATTATTCTTAATTAATTTTCTTAAAAAATTTCAATAAAAAATTTAGTTTTTGCTATTTTTTTGTGGTTGACCTTCTACTTCAACTTTTAGCATTTATATATCTTAAACTAGATATACAGCGTATTCTTTGTGTATAAAGTTACATAACTTTATGTTAAAATTTATGCAATCTAAATTTTGATTGGATAACTTTAAATTAATATTTGCGTTTAAACAAAAATAAGTATTATCTTGAGTAAAGATTTGGTTTGATTTACTTCGCTAGAAAATAATTTGCAATTATTTTTGTTGACTGAATTTAGATTCAGTTTACAAAAATAATTGCAAATTATTTTCTATATAATGAAAAATATTGCAACAAGAAGTAACAAACTAATAAATAGATAAATAATAAGCTAGCAAAATTCCTAGCAGTAATATACTTAAATATCCAAACCATTGTGAAATCAAGA